CGCTCATAAAATATTATGAAAATAGTATTTTCTACACCAAATGCTACAACTCACCTGAGTTTACTGGTTTGTCATGATTCAATACATGTAATGCACTCTCTGTACCCTTCACCATACGTACATCCCATAATTTCACCGTCTTGTCAACTGATGATGTCGCCACCAGCCAATCACATTGGGGATTGAATTCACAGTGGGTGACTTTCTGTTTATGAAGTTTATGCTTCCACAGCTGTGAAAAAGAAACAAAAGCACACTCCAAATTTACCTAATAGGAATATTAAATTGGCATTTAAATGAGAAATGAGAATTTTTATATAAAATATTCAATTCCAAGACTATCATGGAAGCCAATATACATCAAATTGTTATGTATTTTACGAATACTTTCTCAGCTGAAATAATGAAAAAAAAATATTTGTCTTTTTTGATTTTACTTTTTAGGTAAATTATTTCTATTAAGGCAACCATTATCTTTTTCGTTGAGAATTATAGTACTTACCACTTTACCTTCCTGGCTAAGCAATATAGTATTGCCTACGCTGTCGCCAACGGTTACCAGACCAGCCGTAAATGACACGTCAAGTGCACAATACCAATAACTGTCAAGGGAAGAAAATGTTTTGAATTAGTGATGTTCAAATTTCAAGACTTTATTTGAAAAACATTCAAACCTGTGTTAGCCTCCACTGTATAAAGATCAGTACTTTTAAGCATAATGTAAGAGCTACCTGGAGCACCCTTTCTACAATATTATTGCAGATTCACTTTTTTCTAGAGACCGAAATAATAATTATAATTCCTTTTATAAAGCAATTTTTATTTGAATTTAATTTAAATTTAATAAATGTACCGGTAATAATAATAAATAAATGTGTTTTTGTTGTATTTTGACTGATAGCATGTTGAAAGAATGAATAATTAAACTGCCATGTGAAGCCACTTTTTTTTATCTTGGGTGGTCGCTATACACAGGTTTGACTTTATGTGATTATTATATTTTTAATGAGCTTGATCAAAACCTGAAGCCAATAGAAAATCAAGTTCGTTTGGTCCAAAATTTACTAATAAAATTTCAAAGAGCTATATCAAAATGTTACAACAGAATTGATGGTGGCAAAAATGATGGAATTTTTATACAATTCTTACAATGCTAACATTGAATCAAATACAATACTCCAATACAGTATTACTTTAATTTTCAAACCAACATTTCAGAATTAACCGAGTAAACATGTGCATGTACCAACAAGTAAAAATGTACTAAAAAATAATTCACTCACCGAGTCCAGTCACTTGATTCATATAGTATTTTTGGTTGTCTTCCAGTGAAATCCTGTAAGCTGATTTTACCTGACACACTGGATGTATAGACAGTATTGAGATTGTCAACATTGAACTTCAAACTTGTAATAGAACCTCCTTTGCCAATCTAAGAAAAAAAAACATAAATTTAATGAGGCTACGGTAAATAAAACAAATTTGCTATTTCCAGTATGGATCTAAATTTTATATTATATTATTTTATTTTTTCCCCAATGTGAGAACATAATTATGCTTCACTATAAATGTAAAATCGTATACACACGATTATATATCGGAGCAAAAATTTGATGAAAAAAAACTTTCGCAAGAAAAAAGATTTATACTATATAATAAAAAAAAAACATATCTACTGTAAGTAAAAAATCTTGAAGATTTTACTACTAACATCTGGTTCTCATGAATAGCAGTTTAAATGTCTTAATTGCTGCAACGTCCCTGTCTAACATAATTTTTATTGTAGCCAAACTTTTCAAAGTCAGCCATGCTAGTCCTACCAAAATTGATAAGATTTACAAAAATTTAGAAAAGATCAGATAAAAAATGTTTAACTTATTGTAACCACATGGAAATTTAAAGTTACATTTTCATGAGTTTGAATATCTTAAAAAATCAAATTGAAAAAGACTTCATACAGATTAATATCATTATGATAACTAATTTTCAAGATGATTGGATAATAGTTGTTTGAGTTACTGTAAGCACAAGTACTGAGTTAAGGTAGAAGCCTACTCATAATTTTTGAGAAAGTTGGTCATAAATCGCATGACAATGTTTATTGGTTTATTATGTAAAATTGTGAAGCCAGTGTCTCATGGTACCATGAAATAGCATTCTTTTGTGTGTTACAGTGACGTATTTTGAGAAATTTGTCCCAATATTTTTCAAAAATTGCTATTTTTAGAACAATTCCGTAGAACGCAATGCTAAAGAAAAAGTTTATTTTTCAACACTTTTTAAAACCCGGATTTTTGAAATAATTCAGGAAAACAAAAAGTACCCCATCATTGACAATATAGTATTTTATCAGCCTGTCACCAGCCTACAATTTGAAATATGGCATAATATCTCTGCCATAGGAGACTGTGGTAAAAGCTCTATATTACTGCCAAAATAGCCGCTACCCACTAAAATACAACCATCATTTTCTCGAAAATTAAGTAGGTGACCCCCAACTTTGAGTATTTGAATTTATGAGTCGGCTCTACCTTAACGGTGACGATGACAATAACAACTAAAATGACATGTTATCTATACCTTTCCCTTCATTAACTTTACATGTAGGATAAAAATGACAGATACGTTTGCTTTCAGAATATATTTCAGAATACAACTACGTGCTAGTCATTCAGTACATAGACAGAAATACATGAAATCAAGTAAATTAATATATTAATAATATCAATGGAATGACCACAGCTAATTTGCTTTCAATAAGTGGGATAATCAAAAAATTAACATTAATTTAATAGTACACCACTATTACCGGTAATGTCAGTAAATTGCTTAATTCTTACCCCTGAGATGAATTCCTGTTTGTCTGTTCTTTCATAGTCCCATAGTATCATATCACCACCTTTAGAACCAATGGCTAAAACAGTGGGATGCGTAGGGTGCCACTCAATCGCAGTGACCCTCCTATCAAATGGACTCGCTGTCCTGTATACTTTTGCGTTGGAGAGAATACGAACAAATGGCTGACACAAACTCTGAAAGATTAAAAAAATCATTTATTAATAAAATAAACCTGTTGTCTAGTTCTGGTACATCAGTCACCTCCAAAAATACACAGTTGCATTCAAATCAAAGATTTAAAACACAGTCACGTTAGTAAGAATTTAGTATCTATTTTTTGTTCTTAATGTCAAGGTAAATAGTAAGTCATACTGCAAGCTATATCAGGTAATACTGTAAAAACACCAATATTGATAAAAATATGATGATCTGGGTTTCCTTAAAAAAAGTGTATATGTGGAGTCCAGTAAATGTACTGTAGAATATTTTATTTTCGCTTGGAATTTATTTTCGCTATTTTCGCTGAAGGGATTGTTTTCGTGAAAATAAAATCCAGCGAATATACTTTTTTTCCCATATTTCACATTAAACTCATGAAAAATCAGTGAAAATAAATTCCAAGCAAAATGCCCAAAAAGCCTTTTCAGCGAAAATAAAGTATTCCACAGTAGTCTTTTCCCTTGCCTCTTGTAGTTGCATTGCATTTTAACTTTGGTGTATACATGTACTATGGGTAAGGGGGTCACAAACATTGAAAAAACTGTAAAATACTCTATTTTCGCTTGGAATTAATTTTCACTATTTTTGCTGAAGGGATAAATAATTCAATGAAAATCAAATCTAGCGAATATAACTTTTTTTCTATATTTCACATTCAACTCATCAAAAATCAGAGAAAATGAGTTCCATACAAAACACCCAAAAATCTTTTCAGCGAAAATTAATTCCAGCTAAGATAAAGTATTTGACAGTATTTTGTTACTAATATAAATGTTCACCACTTTTTTATATCATTGAATCTTATTTAGTATAATTTTCAAGGTAGAATACAGACACAAATGTTAAATTTATGAACATGACAAGTGATAAATTTAAATAAATTTAAAAAAATGAATGAATGAATGAGCACTCATCTTACCTTCCTCATTGTATTCTGCGGCCGTCTACCAAGTGATGTATTATGCATATGATGAACAAGATTTTGACTATTATTTCCTATAAGAGGTGTAACACTTATAGCAGGTATTGTCTTTCTTGTCAATACACCACTGCAAATCTAGAACAAAAATATTGAAATGTAAAGAACAGCCAGATACATCTGGAGAGATTAATTGCTTCAGACAATACTGTAAAACATGTTTAAATAGCTACATGACATTTTAGCAAATTTGACTCCATGCATGAATTAACTGAATTTTAATTTAGCTAGAGTGCCAACAATCCCATAGTGAAAATATACTTTATTTTAAATTAGCGGCATTTTGAATTAGCGAAATTACAGATTAGCTAAATTAGCTAAAAAGTGTGTAAAGCAGTGAAAACGCAACAAAAATTTAATTTTTAAGTACAGAACTGATTCAACTGAAGACAAACATGTCATTTGTACTTAATAGATAGTATGTGGATAAGCCAAAAAAAAATATGATGATTTGTAAACTAGCTCTAAAAAAATATAGCGTAACAATTACAACTTTGTCTATTAAGAATATAGATTTCAGCCAAATTTTACCTTACATGTATATCTTGAGAATTGAACTCGGTTGACATTTCATAACAATGTCAAGCTTCCCAAATTTGTAGATGAACAAATAATTTTTTTTTGAGTTTGAGATTTCACACTGGTTAATATAATACCAGTATCCAAGGAATTGGATAAAAACTGTTTGAGTTCAAGAAAAATTTTACGACAGTCAATGACGATGACAACATCAAAAACTTTGCCTACCCTATATTGAAACACCAAAGTATTTTGCAGATTTTCGTAATTTATTGGCTTCTAAAATTTCTACTGATCACATAATTGTACTGTTTTTAGTTTTCTAAAATGTTACCCCCCCCCCTCCCAGATTTTTTTTTCTAACTTACTTTTCTCAATTACAAACAGCATTGCTTATAATTCAGTCAAGGTTAGATACACAAAATGTTATTTCTATGATTTTCTATGATTTCTTTATTATTTACTTATTTCTTTTATTTACACTTGTTTGGCCCTAATTAAACTCAGATATAATTGAAAAACAATATTACCTTTATTCTTTCATCATTCTCAGCAGTATCTTTTCTTTTAGACCTTTCATCATTCTCAGCAGTTTCTTTTCTTTTAGAGCTTGTACTTTCCGACTGATCTGCGCCATTTTCATAAGGCTTCATTCTCTTCCTTGTTTTTCTTTGTGTTGCTCCAGGCATTCTCCACACAGGTTTAGGTAATCTAGAAGTAAACATTAAGCAAATAGCTACAGTTTTTGACCAGTTGAGACTGGTAGCATTGTATGGTATATTACTGCTCATGAGTTATAATTTAAATTATCAATAATAATTACACCACTTACTGTCATAGTCTTATTGGGACATTTAAAACCACACTTCTTTTAGCTTATAATGGTATGGGAAGACTCTCCGGAAATCTGTGTGCGAAAGCATTCGGGTACATATGGCGTGAAAAATGTGCATCTATTTAATTCACAATAAAAAATATAATCTAACTGTAAAACTATGAGTATAAACATGGAGGTATGGCATAAATAAACGTTGGCGCAAATAAGATGCTGTGTTACATGTATTTACATTCATTTCCCGCTTACGACCCTACCCTATAGCCTACCCAATTAATCACTGATACTGCCAAGTGTAACGTTTGTATACATTAGTACCGATCGATAGAAAAAAACAAACATATGACTTTGACGACCATAACCGAATCGAACCAAGGCACTAAATTCTCTAAGACAAATCTGGACATGAATTCAGAAGAAGACAAAAGACTTATGCGTTAGCGTGGGGAAAGGAAGGTGTTAATCGGGATAAGCATCGTCTCTTCTTGTTTCCAAATTCAATGTGATGGGCAATGTTCAGAGACGCCCGATCAAACTCAACTTACCGGAAACATGTGTTATCAGATAGAAAGCAAACTTGGTTTGATGTAAATCTATGTCAACACCTTGGACGCCCGATGAGGTATATGCTGCCAATTACTCGCTGATCAACTATCACCCAGCCTAGTCACTTGTCAAACCAGGAAGCTACTGACGTCGACACGGAATAAACAAAGCTGCTGCTTTTGACCTTGCACACATTACGCAAGTTTAACCTAATTAGCATATATTCGTGAGCTTTGACCTCTGAGGGCGAACACAGAAATCTGAATATTCAGTTCAGTACCAATGAAAGTTGGTACCAATGAAAGTGTAGCGTTTTAATGAAAATCACAGCTTTGACACCGTGCAGCATAGCTTGGTCAGGAAAAACTTAGCTGCAAGAATGAAATCCGCTAGTTTTGACATCGAGAACTCAAGCTTTGAACATATTTTGATGTTGAGGGCGTACACAACATGGCTGCCTCCAAAAGCAGTGTTAGCGACGGAAAGTATTTTACTCGTTTTCTAAACAAAATCACCAATTTATGCTGTGTAATATGCT